TCACTATCAAGGAGCAAAAAATTTGAGGAACTAAATATGTACGCCCAAAAAATAGTCAGCATCAATCTCGAGACAATCTAACGAGTCAGATAAAAAGAAAGATGATTAAAAATGTGTCAAAAATCAGTTATTACTATAAAAAGACATTATAAAGACCTGTAACTTTCTTATTAAAGTGGATCACTAATAAAAAAATCATAAAGATCACTAACACCTCTATAAAGGTGAGACTATAAAAAGGTGATACTATAAAAAGGTGATATATAGATCTGTAACTTTCCTATTAAAACAGAGATTATAAAAAGACAACATAAAAACCTGTAAATTTTCTATTAAAGCGAGGCCTTAATAATAATAATAATAACTTGTAACTCCCCCATTAAAGTAGGGGCAAGCATGTATTTTTAGACTCGGTTCATTTTTCTCCAATATATGTAAAAAAAGGTTCTTCTCTTGACGTTTTTCATGTAGAAAGAACTCTTTACCCTTCTCAATGAAACTTCTATTTTTTATATATAAAAGGAGTCAAAGACCCCGAGAACATCTCAGTCCGCTCTGATCCTTGGTGATATTTGAGGAAAAAGATCCACACCACCACAGAAAATTCACAATTATTATTATTGAATTTGAAAGGATACAAACGAGACTCTTGCAACATGAAATCACGATAACAAACAACACAAGCATAAAAACGCAACACAGACTCCAATAAATGTGATGGTAGCAAGTGGGGATGTTGGCGACAGCAAGGGGAGGGAACGACGGTCGGGTAAGGAAACAGAGGAAGGGGCAGAGAGCTTGACTATAGAGAAAGCAGAGCAGCAAGTAGATGACCACTAGAAGGGGTAGGGGTTGACTGGTGGGATATTGGAGTTGAGTTGGAGAGGAATAACAAGCTAGCAGCCTGTGGGAAAGTGTGGAGAAGGGTTGGTAGCTCACTGAAAATGAGTCGGAGGGAGGGCAACAAATTGGCGACTGCTGCACTACGTGGGAGAGGGGACTATGGAAAGCTAAATGTCTCGTTGGGGTAGAGCTACAGCCAAAGTACCACCCGGACCCTTGAAGACAGTCAAAATTTCGGAAGAGTTACAACCAGAGCACATTCTCACCGTCTGATACAACCCCCAAAGGGAAAAAAACGCCTCAAAAGCAGTAGCTAAAATCAACAATCATTCAAAAACCTTTCTTCCAACCTCAAAAAAATTGCACCCATATAAAGAGAGGATTATTATATAAAATAGATAAAAAGTTGAATAAAAAAGAAATAAAATAGGCAAGGAGAGAAATAAGAAAGATGTAGAAAATGAAAGGAATTAAAATGGAAAAGCATCATAAAAAAGAAATGAAATGAATTAAATAGGAAAGGAAGACTGCGGTTACTGTAGCTGCTACAGTACCGTGAGCGGTAAGTTCCTGCGTTAACCTCTCGGGGTTTGGGCAGTTCAACTTCATTCGTCAAAGCATTTTGAGAAGAAAAATTTTGGTAGGAGGTGGCTCGGGTGAGGACGGATGCTAGGAAACCCTATGATAGGACTAGAGTTGGGCTAGCTCTGATACCAAATGATACCAAAATTAGCCCAAACCTCAACGATAAAAGCAAACATTATTACTAAATTGTGAATTATTACACCAAGACTCATCAAAAACCAGAAATAAATGACCACAACACCCAAAATATCGAAAGACAATAATGACACTGTAAAATAAGAAAGAAAATAACACCAAACACAAAGACAACTCCCTCTAGGGCGAACGACAGGTCCAACAGTGGAGAAAGGTGGTGTCGGTGGCGTTGGAAAGAGGTTGTCAGCTAAGGCAACAGTTAGGAAGCCTACTGGCTGGTGACTGGAAGCAGAACAAAAGGCAGATGATTGGTGACTGATGATTGGAGCAAGAGGACAGTTGTTGGACGGGTGTTGGAAGTGGCAGCTGCTGGAAGGCGGTTGAAGGTCTAGACGGCAGCAGGACAACAGTGGGAAGCATCAAACAGCAACAGGGAAGCTAACGACATGGTTGGAGGTAGTAAGATAGATGTTGGAAGCGTCGAATAGCAGCAGAGAAGGTGTCGATGCGGCTGGTGGCTGCAGGACAGTTGCGGGGAGCGGAAGCGTCGAACAACACCAAAGATTGAAAATGACAGCAAGGTCGAGTGGTTTACGGTTGTTGGAAGCAGGGTTATAGCGGATTGTGGAAGGATAAATGTCTTGTCGGGGTCGGGCTACAGCCGAAGCACCACCCAAACTCTTTGAGACGATCGTCACCTCGGAGGAGTTACAATCAACGCACCTTCTTATCGTTGGGTACAAACCACATAGGGGAATAACGCCTCAAAGGCAACAACTGAAATCAACAATCAACAAAAACCTTTCTCCCTAACCCCAGACAAACAATATCTATAAATAAGGTGAAATAAAAAGACTAGGAAAGTAGGACATTATGCAATAAATAAAGGAGTGAGGAAGGAAAAGCAAAAAAATTGAAGTAAGGCTATTGTAGGAAGGGATGGATTTAGGCAGGGAATCAAATAGAAAAGAGAATCAAATAAGGAAAGAAAATAAATCGGAAAGGGGAACATGATTATTGTAGCACCTACAACAACACATCTACGGTATTGTAGAACAGTACCGTGATCGGTAAGCTCCTGTGTCAATCTCCCCAGGTTGGAGGAGCTTCGACTTCATCCGTCAAAGCTTTTGGGGCAGAAAATTTTGATAGGGCGGCTTGGGTAGAGGCAGATGCTATGAAACTCTAGGATATGACTAGGGCTAGATTTAATATCAAATGATATCGCGGATAAATGACCCAAACCACCACAAAAAAAAATACAATTATTATTACTGAATTTAAAATTATACAAACAAGACTCTTGCAACAAAAAATCACGACAACAAACAATAACACAAGCATAAAAACACAACACAGACACCAATAAGGGTGACGGTAGCAGGTGGGGATGTTGGCGGCAATAGACTAGGGCCAATGGCAAAGAAAAAAAGAAAGGGGCAGCAAGTTTGACTGTAGGGAAGGGGGAGCGGCAAGTAAACAACAGTCGAAAGGCGCAGGGGTCGACTGGCGGGATGCTGGAGGTGAGTCAGAGGTTAACAACAAGCTGGCGGCTTGCTGAAGGTGAGCCCGAGGGAGGGAACCAAGCTGGCAACTGCTGGACTGCAAGGGAGAGGGTCTGCGGAAAGATAAATGTCTTGTCGGGGTCGAGCTAAAATCAGAGCACCACCAAAACTCTTGGATACAGTCACCACCTCGGACGAGTTACAGCCAGAGCACCTTCTCGCCATCGCATACAACCCCCGGAGGAGAAGAACCCCTCAAAGGCAGTCGTTGGAATCAAGAATCATCCAAAAACCTAGTCTTATAACGTCAAAAAATATCACATATATAAAGAGAGGATTAGTAGATAAAATAGGTAAATAGTATGATAGGAAAGAGATACAATAGGCGAGGAGAGGAATAGAAAAGAGGTAGAGAAGGAAAGTGATTATAATGGGAAAACATCATTAAAAGAAAGTAAGGGAATTAAATGGGAAAGGGGGACCGCGATTACTATAGCAGCTACAGTAACGCGATTACTATAGCAACTACAGCTACAAAAAGCTATTACAGCACCTCGAGCAGCAAGCTCCCTCGTCAATCTCCCGGGGTTGAGGAGCTTCGAATTTATCCGTCGAAGCTTTGAGGGAAGAAAAAATTTCATGGGAGATGGCTCAGGTGGAGGTGAATGCTAGGGAAACCTAGGATATGACTAGGGTTGAGCTAGCTCTAATACCAAATGATACTGGCGTTAACACAAACCACAATGGGAAAAGCAAATATTGTTACTAAATTGCGAACGATTACACCAAAACTCATCAAAAAATGGAAATAAATGACCACAACACCCAAACGGTTGAAAGACAATAACGATGTTAGGAAATAAGGAAGAAATAATGCAAAAAACAAAGAAAGCTCCCTCTATGGCGAGGTATAGGTTCAGCAGGTGACGAAGGCGGTTGCGGTGGGGCTGGAAGGAGGTGGTGCTGGAAGGAGGTTGGCAGCAAAGACAACGGGTAAGAGGTGAACGATTACTTGGGTGGGGACGAATTGCGAGGGAACCCTAGGATATGACTACGATTGAGCTAGCTCTGATACCAAATGCTATCGAAGTTAACCCAAACCACAAAGGGAAAAGCAAATACTATTACTAAATTACGAACTATTACACCAAGACTAATCAAAAACTGGAAATAAATGACCACAACACCCAAATGGTTGAAAGACAATAATGACGCTAGGATATAAGAAAGAAAATAATGTCAAACACAAAGACAGCTCCCTCTAGGGCGGGTGGCAGGTTCCTCGTCACTTGGTCAAGCCTCACGGGACAAATTTGGATTCAACAAGTTACATTGCTATTATTTAGAAATATGAGTATTCACTAATTGTTGATAATTCATTGTGATGATAAATGAACATTCAATAATTCATTGTGATGATAGATGAGCATTTCATATTTAAGTGTGGAGAAATTAAATGGGTAATAGAAGAAAAAATATTTATAGAAACCAAAGCCAACGAGGGAAAAATATTGGACAACTACATTATGAAAGTACATTTTATTTGTTAATGGCGCATCTATTTTATTTTGGTTATTATATTGATTAATTATTGATAGTATTAAAAATAAAAATTTTAAATTTCAGCATCTGTCTATTTGAACATTGAAAATTTCAAGCCCCCAAGATGGACCGTAATAGAAATAGAACAAGAGAATGGAAGTTTGAATTTTGCTAGGAATTAAGATTTGAAATTATAAGTGAAATAAAAAAAGGCTGATGTGAAAAAAGAAAACTAAAAATAATGGAAGCTTATTTGGATTAATCAATAGTACAGAAAATAACATGGCAGTTTGTTTGGAAAATCTCATCAAATTGTCGAAAACTACTAATAGGATTGCAAACCAGAAACGAAAAGTTAATCGCCAACAAGTCCATCAACATGCAGCTTACTTGATTCAATTGTTTGGAAAGTAGAATAGTCCACAGAGTATTTCATGTCGTAATAGAAGTAGTAGGATGGCGTAGGTCTAGACTTCAGCTCCACCTGCAACAAATGATTTCTAAAATTAACAGTAGACAAGAAATAAAGCTGCCATAACTTATGAAAGATGTGAATCATCAAATATTAATGTACAAGAAACCAGAGTTTATTCACAGTCAATAATATAGAACATACACTTTGAGCAACTTGTGCAACCTTGACTTTAGAAACAATACAATTTAAAAGATTATCATTCCTCAAGTCGGAGTAGAATAATCTTTTTTTATCATGGCATATGGCCTGATCCTTCATAACCTAAGGCAAATGATAAAAGCATGAGATCATAAGCACGGAAAAACTACTAAACCTTATATAACAACATTGTTATTATGTATCCCTATACATTAGAAAATTCAACAAGTCTTCAACAAAAACGCCAACTTGTTAAAA